ATTCATTCTTGATATCGGCGTCAGTTCGCGCCGTGTTGACGATACAATTCTTCGCAGTCAATATCAGTAAAACTGAACTTATAGGGGTATTCGCTGCTTCTAGCCACGATCAGGCACTTGCTTTGGCCCTTGTGCAATATGGAGCCAATCTCAGCATGAAATGCAGAAACGACAGCGCCTCGTAGAACCAAACCGAACCATAAACTCAGCTTAGTCGTCACGACGTCGAATTCCACATCGCTATCCACTACACCATCCGTGCTGCCAACATGTCAACCGTAGACAGCTGCTATGGAACTTCCCCGTACTTTTCAACATGTTTCAACTTGTGGCTCAACAACATCCCTTTTTTGGCTTACGTTCACGTTATTTTCAATGCACAGTCCACTGGCCCCTTCTATTCTGTGGGCAGTCTACGCCATGAATGAAAAAATCGAAGCTTAGTGGTTAAAACTGCAATTTCTGACAAAATCATTTTCACTCCTTTTTTGAATTTCAGAGGCCAAATGGAATTGGTCCATAGTTCTGTACTCAGTGCACATGCCCCTACACCATGCGAAAAAACCATTTTCAAAATACGTCACACGCCCTGAAAGACCTCCCTCGTCAGGAATTGCCGGCCCGCCTCCAGACTTCTCCACAAGGGAGTATGGCTGTCCAGAGCCTGTATGTAGCGTAGCTTCTGTTCTCCAGCCAGGGAACCCGCACATACGGGCGTTTTCTCTGCGGATACCTTCATTTCGCGTCGAGCTGTACGAACTACCCTAGCCTGAAGCATGCGTTACGCAGAGAGGGGTGGGTGTTGGAGTGGGGAACAGTCCACGGCGAGGGAATACGTCAAAAACAATGCAAGCTTTCATTCTGTTGTTGACCACCCCCGGCCTTCCTGGTCTGAAAACAACATAGTGCATCGTGACCCCTTTGGAAGCAACGAGAGACCGCTTTTTTGTTATGCAAGTCCTAGCTTTTTCCAAATGCCATCTTATGTTATTCCTGGTATTTCGTAGTCGTGAGGCAAATTCTCAACCTCATAAATCTGACACTTGATTATTCCTCTTCACTTCCAAATTAACCCGCAACTTCTTCGCTCATCTTCAGTGGTCGATTCCAACGTCGTCGCGTCGCAGCAACGTCAACCCGTGGCGCTCACTCGAGAACATTTCACGGAGCGCAAGTGAAGCCGAGCCTCGTTATGATACATTTTTGTTTATTCTCGTTGTATGTATTTTATTTGTTATTTAGCTGCAATTAGCTGTAAGTGGTGTATCACCCGAAGTAGTCGCGTCATCTAATCTCTGACCCGAAGCTCCTGCAAACGTGTGAGGCTACGACAACACGTAGACGTAGGCCCGTCTGGTAGTCATCGGTTCTGACTGGTCTGTCGTATATGGGTAAGCGGCACTCGGTGCTCCTGTCGCAGGACCGTTGAAGGAAGAAGGGAGCTAAAGTGACTCTTACACAGTGTCTCTTGTATCGAGGTGCTCCCGCATATTCCGCGTCGGGGCACGCTTCAGAAGGACCGTAGCTTCGCGTGGCAGAGTGAAGATCATTGGCGCAGAAGAGCTCGTACCCAGATGCGCTCCTATCGCGACACCGCCATTACTTCTTTGGGGCTCCTCGTGGTCGCTTACTTACCTTGAGCTTCAAACTAGGCGATGTTCTCTCATCTTCAGCGGACTGGGCTGTTTGAACTCTTAACTAGAAAGTAATTTTCTAGTGAAAAAAATCAGCACAGTGATGAATGATACTTATAGGGTGGCAAGCATAAAGCACTTATTGGTAGAAACCGTATGAATGAGAAGTTTGTAGAGTTTGTTTCATGATAACATTTTTATTATTAAAATTGCAAAGCTTGATCACAAAGTCAATCCAACCGGTTCAATTGGAAAAAAATTGCAGAGAACGATAGCGATATAGTACATATACAAACGGAACAGAACAGTGGCAACCTTTTTAGACGTTGTTGAATGAGCTGCATTCGCTTATTGTAACAATAGATGCCTAAAATGGCCAACTGGCTGAATATCATATCGGACTTCAATGAGACGAATACTGAGGTCCAAGTTCTGCTGTGCAGTAGTCGCATATGAAGTGAGCTCTGTTAGTGACCGTGAATCGGTACATTTATTTGTAGTAACTTCGTATAGCGGTCTCATTGATTTTCACTTTCTGTTCGACTCCATAGCGGAATATACACGTGCCCTTTGTTTCGTATTTAACAATCTGAAAAATATGGCATCTCGCTTAG